GCAGCACTATTCACAATAGCCAGGATATGGGAATCAACCTAAGTGTACATCAGTGGATGAGTGGATAAAGAAAATGCGGTATATATATACAAAATGAAATACTATTCAGCTTTAAAAGAGAAGGAAATCCTGTCATTTGCAACAAAATGGATGAAATTGGAGAACATTATGCTAAATGAAATAAGCAAGCACAGAAAGACAAGAGCTGCAGGCTCTCACTTTTATGTGGAATCTAAAGAAGCAGAAAGTAGAATGGTGAGGTGTAGGGAGGGAACTTCTTACATGATGGTTTTATGACCTGCTTCAGGGGGGGAGAGTGGGGGAAGGTGAGTGTGACCTTCCTGCTTCTACTCATTTCTCAAGTGCTGTATTTTGGGATAGCATGTCCTGAACCCCCTCAGTGTGCAGAGGGAGGGCACAAAATTAGATGTGTCCTGCCCAATCTGCTATCTTTTACTCTTTACTGTATGTATTGAAGGCTCCACATTCTCTTCCTTAACCCAAATTCTCCTTACCTAATTTTTTTAAAGTTTCTAATTTGTAAAAATTGTCTAACTTAATTGAATTGTTGTCAAAGAATATGTTCTGTTTGATATTACTTCTTTGAAATATGTTGAAGCTACTTTACAGACTAGTATGGGATCATTTTTTATAAATGTGTGCTTAAAATGTGTTTTCTCCAATTTTAGGATGGAATGATCTATATGTCTATAAATTAGATGAAACTCTTAATTTTGCTTTTCAAATATTCCATATCTTTTGTGATTTTTTGAATCAGCTTTTCTATCAATTACTGAAAAAGGTTAAAAATAACTCTGTAATGGTGAATTTGTCAGTTCTCTTTGTAGTTCTATCAATTTTTGCTTTCTATATTTTGAAGCTACATTATTAAATACATAAAAGTTTATGAATATTTTCTTTTCCTAGTGAGTTAACCCTTTGTCAGTATATACTTACTTCCTTACCTTCAGCAATATTTTTTGCCTTAATGTTTATTTTGTTTAATCTAAATGTAGTAACATAGCCTGAGGTATGGAGCTGGGGGCAGCTGAACCCAGCTGCAATCAGGTAAAGAGCACAGTAAAAACACCATTTCCACACGGGTAGCCCTCCATAGCCACTGCAATTACCATGGCTGCCGCGAAAGTAGCTAGTCACTACAGCAGTAGTCATTGCCACCATGCAGATGGCATGCCAGACACTCGACTGCATTGACACAAGGAGAGTCACCAGCAGAGACCAAAAAAAAAAAAAAAAAGTGGAGATCTCTCTCCACAAAGCACACTCCAGAGTAATAGAAGAAGCCTCTGCTATATGATAATAGTAGGGAACCTGAAAACACCTTTCTCAGTACTGGACAGATCATCTAGGCAACAAATCAACAAAGAAACAGTTAATCTATCAGAGGGAGAAAACAAATCTGTAGTTATTAGTGGGGGGAAGGGGATGTGGAGAGAGGCTGGATAAGTGGAATAAAGAAGAAGTATGACTTGTAATAATGAATATACTAATAAAATTTTTTTTAAATGTAGTTACATAAACTTTCCATGGTTAATATTTACCTGATTTATCTTTTTCCAACTTTTTACTTTCAAGCTTTGTGTATCCTTATTTTTTAACATGTCGCTATTGTGGGGAAAATAGGATAATTTATTTTATTTTATTTTTATTTTATTTTTTGTGACCGGTAAGGGGATCGCAACCCTTGGCTTGGTGTGGTCCACACCGTGCTCAGCCAGTGAGCGCACCGGCCATTCCTATATAGGATCTGAACCCGCGGCGGGAGTGCTGCTACACTCCTAGCGTTGCACTCTCCCGAGTGCACCAAGGGGCGGCCAAAAATAGGATAATTTAGACAGGCTCCCTTGGCTTAGGTCTGGCTGAGGGGGTCATGCAGCACATTTCTTTGTAAACAAGTTGTGTGTGGGTGGGGTTAGTGCACACGTGCACCAATGTATCTTTCTAGTTACTTGCTATTGTGTGTTCTTCAGTTTGTGATGCAGGCTGGCCAGCAGAGAGCTCTCCTCTGAAAATAGAGCATGTTTGCTCTGCTGGCAGCAGCTCAGTTTCAGTTTTACTTTGGACTTTGCCTGTAGCAGTTGAATTCCCGAGTTTCTTTTGTGGAGTGCTTAGCTCATAGTATTGTGTGTGCTGAATAAAGACTATTCTCACTTCAACCAAGGCTCCAAGGACCTTTTTACTGGTTACCTAGACCTGTGTGTGAAGGGTTTGTGAATGGGCCTGAGGGGTCTTTGAGCTCCAGAGACCCTAGCCCTAGCTCTACAGCTATATTTTTAAAAAATCTAATCTGGTAGTTTTCTTTTAATTTTATGTGCATATCTAGTGACTATTGAAAGATTTGGATTTATTACTACTATCTTCTTATGTACTTTCTATTTGTGTTAACTTTTCTGTGTCTAATTTTTTTGTTTTGTCCTTTTCCCTCTTTCCCACCTCATACTGTCTGCTTGCTTGTTTAGAAATTGCACACCCTGTGTTGCGGGGTTTTATCAAGGACCATTTCTCTACCAGAACAACTGTGATGAACATTTTCATGTAGTTTCTATGTTAGAATGCCCTTGTAGTCCTGGAGACAACTGTTTGGTTCAAGGTATTTGTCTTAGTGCAGTTTTTTGTTTAATTTGTTTGTTTGGTGCTATCTGGGTTAACTTAGCTTGATTATATAAATTTTGAAGTTTTTCATTTTTGTCAATATTTTGAAGTATTTCAGACAGCTGTGAAAGAGAAGAGCCAGACATTAGGTAAAGGTAGCAAAGAGATTTTATTCAATATTATTGCAATAGGGGAGAGTGGCTTCAGTAAAACTGAGCTCAACTCCAAATAAAGATAGCAAAGATAGCTGGGGATTTTTAGCCAGTATGCAGAGTGAGGGGGGTCACTGGATGGAAAATTACTAAAAGCAGACATCAAGGGTAAGGGGATTCTTGCTAAAGTAGCCTAAGAGGATTCTTGCTAAAGGCAGGCCAAAGACCAAGACATCAAGAGTGAGGGGGCATGAGGAATTTGATCAGGTTATCAACGGTGGGAGACTCTCACTAAACTTATTTAGGAGGATTCTTGCTAAAACTGGGCTTGGCAGGCCAAGTGTGAGGCCTAGTCAAAAAGAAGGGCTCCAGGAGCCTATCTAAAGTTTAGTTAAGGAGAGTGTCTTTGCCACAGTAAAAAGTAAGAGGCAGAGGAAATTAGCAGTTCTTTTTAGAAAACCAAATATTACAATCTAAGCTACTGTATTGATGTGCCCCAAATGTCATGCACTTCCAAGTTCCAAAGTGAAAGATCCAGTTGAAACTGCCTGAACACAGGCCACACAGACATTTAATTGATGGACATTTTATCTGCATTCTAATCAGTGATAATTTTGAAGCACACAGAGCGGCACCTGACACTGAGCTAGGGGACGGGCGCGGTACACTAACTACCATTCATAGGGTGCCCACCATGTTTTCGGTACGTTACTACCTTAACTTCTCTCCTCTGCAGTGGGGTCCTCTGGGCTCCCCTTATTTCGGAGGAGGAGAGTGAGGTTTAGCCTAGGCTGTCTGCCCCTTCGCCCCTCCCCACGAGGCGAGCACCTACAAGCTGTAAATTTCTTGAAGGGGCTTCTTGAAGGGAGGAATAAAGAGATTGGGGAGTGTTGTATAAAAAAGTTCAACTGAATGCATAATTTTATTAAAAAGTAAGAAATAAAGTGGGGCTTATTTGGGGTAGCCGGGGTAAAGCCATCCCGCAGTCCCGCTTCCCGCACGTCAACCCCAAGACCCGCAGGTGCCACCCTGTGACCGTCGTCCGACAGCCTCCGGAACACCCCGCCCTCCGGCTCCCCCGCGCCTGCGCATTCCGACGTCCGCACTGCTGCCCCGCAGCCTTGTGGGAAATGCAGTCCGGCGTCCCGGGCCGCAGGCCTCGGCCGCGGCTGCGTCCTCCAGTCGGCAGCTCGGGCCCCTGAGGCAGAGGGTGAGTGCGGGGCCCAAGGCTGCGACGCTTTGGCCGAAGGTCTCGGAGGCCTCCGCACGAGGATCCCAGAACTGCCCGGCCAGGCCCCGCGGCTTGAGGGGCGGCGGCCGCGGAAGAGCCCGGGGCAAGTCCTCTCTGCCCCTGCGGAGCGCCGAGCTACCGAGATCCTGGTGCGTCCCCTCTCGCTCCCGGGACCCAGGCCGCGGTGAGAACATCAAGAGCTGTGTCTCCCGACGCGGTCCTTCCACCTGCCCCGGGGCGCGCCAAGCTGAGCACAGTCCAGGAGGGGCGGGGACGGGTCCGAGGGGTTGCTGAGACCCCTGTTCCTCCTCGCGCGCTTCCGCTGGGCCCCGGGCATCCCTGTCCCAGGACACGCTGCGAACGCGGAGAGAACCCGCCCCTCGGAAGGTTCGGGGGATGCCCGGCCAGAGTCCGCGGGCTCCCGGCGCTCGCTCCTGCCCTTTGTGTAAACCGCATCTCGGGACCCGCCCTCTGGTTTCCGATTCCGAGGGGCGCTGGCGTGGGCTTCCCTCGACCCATCTCTCGGTAAGAATGGGGAGGCCGACCTGGTTCAGATTTCTACCTCAGGGAGTCCTTTGTTTAAAAAAGCAGTTTCTGTCTCTTCAAAGTTACGTAGAAAATTCAGATAAGCAAAGTCATTCGAAATCTGTCAAAATCTGCATGTCGGCGTGTATGTATGCATAAACAGAAACGCTTTGTTTTTAAACAGAAATGTGAATATTAGTATGCTTTTCTCCATTGACGTTTTAAAATTGAGTTATGACATGCATTTGGTAAGGTGTTTGAAGTGCATAAATCTTAAGCTCCATAATTTTTTCCGGTGTAACCACCACCTGGTGAAAATAAATAATAAACTGTTTTTAAAAATGTATATGTTGAAAACATATACTTACCCAAGTTTTTAAAACAGGTAAGTCGTCATTTTAGTGAGTGTGAGGGAACGTAATGGCTGTGCCATATTTAATCATCTCTGTAGTCTGTCTCGGGGTTTTTTTGTGTGTCTTTTTCAGTTTTATAAACAGTGTAGGCCATCTGGTTACATGCATCTTTGCATTCTTGTCTCATTCTATAAATCTCTTCAAGTTAAATTTCTGGGTCAAAGATACAGTAAAGCTTTTGATAGCTCTTGTCTTACTCTCCAGAAAAGCAGCAGTTTTTGTAAACACTTGGAGTGTAGGAGTGCCTAATAGACCCACTCCAACTTTGAGTGTTAGTATTCTCTTTAACTTTCTGAGAGGTGTAAATGAGAGAGTTTAAATTTGCATTTTGAACATTAATGAATATTTTAATGCAGTTTGTCTTTTTTTTTTAAATATTGTGTCTTTTACACGAGCATATGTTCCTTGACTGTGCAGAAATTTTACATGTTCATGTGGTCAGACATGAAAACCTTTCCTTCGTGTTTGAGTTTTTGACATTGTTAGGGAGGCCTTCTGTTCCGTGAAATCGCAAAACTGTTTGTAGTTTCTCCTAGTAGTTTCATTTCATTTTATGTATAAATTTTTATTTCCCAAATGGCAAGCCTTTGTTACAAGTTATTGAACAAGTGATCCTTTCTTTTTTTAAAAAAAAGATGACCGGTAAGGGGATCTTAACCCTTGGCTTGGTGTTGTCAGCACCACGCTCTCACAAGTGAGCGAACCGGCCATCCCTATATAGAGATACAAACCTGTGGCCTTGGTGTTATCAGCACCACACTCTCCCAAGTGAGCCACAGGCCAGCCCTTCAAATCATCCTTTCTTCGTTGATGTGAAATGTCACTTTTTTCATATCCTGAATTCTTATATATAATTTTTTTTTGAACTGTTAATGTTGGTAGGATTTTTTTTTTCTTTTTTCTTTTTCCTGTTGACCTTAATAGGAGAAATGGAGTTAGTAGGATTTTAATTTGTTCTAGTGATCCTTTTCCCTATTAGACTATGACATCCATGAGGGCAGAGAGTTTATCTGTTTTATTTCCAGCTGTATTCACCCTCACCTCTTGGAATGGTCCCTGGTACTCAGTAGGTGGTATATATCTGGTGAATGAGTGATTCTCTCTATTCAGTAATACTATGTTCTAATTAATGTAGCTTTTTTTTTTTTTTTTTTTTTTTTTTTTGTCTTTTGTCTTTTGTCCGAGTCCGGCAACGGATCACAACCCTCAGTGTTGCCCCCGTACCGGACCGGGTACCAGCAACGGGATCGCAAGCCTAGGTGCTGCTCCCGCGCCTCGCTCAGCCAGTGAGCGGGAGCCGGTCGGTATGTGGGATCCGAACCCTCGGGCGCGCTTCCCAAGCGGCGCACTATCCAGTGCACCACCGGGCCGGCCCCTAATTAATGTAGCTTTATAAATGCTGGTGGGCAAGTTATCTCTCATCAGAATTCTTTTTAAAAAAATTTCCTGGCTGCTGTACACTACAACTAACTTTAATCACTTTTTTTAAATAATTAACTTTAAAATATTGTTTCTTAGGTTGAGAGTAATTTGGTTGAGAGTGTGTTAAGTTTATAAATTAATTTCAAAGAAGTGACTACTTAAAATATTAAGACATTCTGTCCCAGATAATGGTATGTCTCTGTTCATCTTTATATATTTAAATAAGCTTAATAAACTAAACTTAAATAAAGGGTAGAGTTTCCTTTGTGTAGATGCTATTTACTTATTTAGTTTATTTGTAGGTATTTTATTTTTTGTTGTTGCAGAAGTCTTGTTTCTCATGACTTCTTTTACTTCCCTTAGCTCTGCCTCCTCTGGACTCTGCCCAACCCCTCAGGAAGGAAGGAGAGGGCAATGGCTGCTGGGTTGCTGCCACTGGGAACCCAGGTGAGCTCATTTTTCTCTCCCAAACCTCTCTCTAACTCCTGTGTAAGTAAACCTCTCCCTTACTGTGTGTGGGCTTCACTGCAGAGGACAGGGATATTGAGATAACAGAATGTTGGGTATTTTTCACAGTTTTTGGAGACCTCCTCAGTGTCCCTGCCCTCTGTTCTCAGTAGCCACTTATTCATTTAGCAAGAAACCCAGGCCTGCTGAGTTCTTGCTGCTTTTCAAGGATCAGAGAAGGAACAAAAATAATGTAAAAGATGGTCCTGATGCTTTTATGGCTTATAGACTCTCGGGGATCATAGAAGAGGGCACATCTGTACAGAATACAGTCAGAATGATTGCACGTGAATATAATAATAAACAAGCATGGTTACGTTCCCACATTATCAGTGTTCGAAGACCTGGAGAAGGGGAAGATCAAGGTGGTGACCAGAAGTAGGGAGTGTTTGCTCATCTCAAGGGTTGTGAAGGGATAACTGGAGAGGATTTTCCGTCATGAAGTTGGAATTTCCCAAGTTTAAATGATTACCATTTATCTGCCTTGTTTTGGGCAAGTGACTTGACTTCCCTGAAGCATCAGTTCCTTATGGTGATGATGGAAATAACAGCATTCACTGAGTGTTGCTGTATACTTGGCATTGTTAAGAATTTCACATGGCTCATTTCATTTAATAATACCTACTTCATAGGTTTGTTGAAAGTTCATATAAAATAATGTAAGTAAAAAGTACCTAGCTTGGTTCCTGCAATGTTAAATATATTCACGAAGTAGTAGGCATTTTTAGTACCATTCCAGCCAAGAGCTTGGCATTTTAAGAGTTTTAAAGGTGGGGCAAGTGTAGCAGTGACTGGTAGTGAGTGTGCTTGAGTGGTGTAGAAGGAATTAGATACAAAGTTTGAAGTCAAGTGCCAGAAGGAGGAGTAGGTGTGTTTAATGTTGGCCATGGGGGTGGAGGAGGAGCCTTGGAGATCAGTCTGAGAAATTTTGATAAGGAAGTTGACAAGATAAAAGGTTTTCAGGGAAAAAGTAGTGCCTGTCACATAGAAGAAATCATGGAGCCAGAATACTAAGTGAGAAGTCCAGGCTTCTCTCAAAAAGAAAATAAGGCATCAGGGGAATTTGGCCTTAAATTCTTTTTTTGTTTGTTTGTTTGTTTTAACGTTAAGCTTACTGAACCTTGTCTGCAATTCTAAAGGACTTGTGGTGTTTACTCTTTTCATAAGATCAGGGATTAGGGCTCTCTTAAATGTATCACTTGTTTATTTATCAAAGAAACTAGTTTAAAGAAATCTCCGTGGAGACAAGTATAAACTCCTGTGATTTCTATTTATATTACTTTCCTTAGTATTATCAAGTTCAGTTATAAATGGCAAAATAACTCACAAAAATGGATATTAGAAAGAAGTTTCTGGAAGATGGGAAAGTTTAAAAAGGTAGATATTCAGAGGATTTTTGTTGATGAAAGTTTTGGTTTGGTTGTCAGTAACCTACATTTTAGTTTGTTTAGTTAAAATAGTGTTAATTGAATTTTTAAATCAGCTTTATTTGAGGTATAATTTACATAAAATAACCCATTTTAAGCATAAAATTCATTCAGTTTTGACAGATTTCTGCACCAACATAACTACTACTCCAGTCAAGATAAAGAACATTTTTATTGTCCCAGAAGATGTCCTCGTGCCCCCTTCCAGTCTGCATCCCCCATCCCAGGCAGCCACTGGTTTGATTTCCATCATTACAGATTAGTGTTGCCCTTTCTAGAACTTCATGTAAATGAAATCAGACATTATGTATAGTTTTGTGCCTGGCTTCTTTTGTTCAAATGTGATGTTTTTCAGATCTATTCATGATGCTGTAAGTAGCAGTAGTTTGTTCCTTTTTATGTCTAAATAGTATTCTGCTGAATATACCACATTTCGTTCATCCATTCATTCATGGTGGACATTTCAGTTATTTCCTGTTTTTAGCTATTATGAATAAAACTAGTATGAGCATTCATGTGTAAGTCTTTGTGTGGATATATGTTTTCATTTCTCTTGGATAAATACCTAGGAGTGGAATAGGTGGGTCAAGTGTAAGTTTGATTTTATAAGAAACAGCTAAAGTCTTTTTCAATATACAAGGAACTTAAACAACTTTACAAGAAAAAAACAAGCAACCCAATAAAAAAATGGGCAAAAGAGCTAAGTAGGCAATTCTCTAAGGAAGATATACAAATGGCCAACAGTCATATGAAAAAATGCTCAACATCACGCAGCATCCAGGAAATGCAAATCAAAACTACACTGAGATACCATCTCACCCCAATGAGGATGGCTAAAATCCAAAAGACTTTGAACGATAAATGCTGGCGAGGTTGCGGAGAAAAAGGAACTCTCATACATTGTTGGTGGGAATGCAAAATGGTGCAACCCCTATGGAAAATGGTTTGGAGGTTCCTCAAACAGCTGAAGATAGATCTACCATACGACCCAGCTATCCCACTGCTGGGAATATACCCAAAGGAATGGAAATCAAGTCGAACTCTAGATACTTGTGTATTTCCTAAAAACAAGACCATTAGCTTACATAACCAAAATACAGTTATCAAAATGAGGAAATGTATATCAGTACGATACCATTAGCTAGTGTACAAACGTTACTCATATTTTGCCACCTAGCTCACAGATGTCCTTTACTTGGTCCAGGATCTAACCCAGATCGCACAATGCATTTAGCTGTTAGATCTCCTTAGTTTGCCTTAACCTGGTACAGTTCTTCAGTCTTTATCTTTGATGACTCTGACACTTTAGAAGAGTGCAGACAATTCTTTTGTAGAATGTTTCTCAATCTGGGTGTAGTGGATTGAATAATGTCCCCCCCCAAACTCCTTGAAGCTTGAATTGTGTCCCCCAAGTTTTATGTATTAGAAATTTAGTCCCCACTGTGGCTATTAAGAGGGTAGGAAGTCCTATAATGGTAATTGAAAGGTGAAGCCTTAAAGAGGTGATTGGATTGTAGGATTGTGCAGTAGTGAATGGATTAAAAATGGTGGTCAGGGGGCCGGCCCAGTGGCGCACTGCTACAGTGCGCTGCTTGGGAGTGCGGCGGC